TGCCGGGCGCGGGCCCCGCCGCCGCCCGGGGGCTCTGCGGGCCCGCGGAGCAGGGCCATGGCCCCCTCGGCTCGGCCAGGTCCGGAGGCTGGGCCTGCGGAAGGAACAGGACGCGCGTTAGGCTGTGAGGCCAGGAGCTCAGGGAACCCCCGACTGCCGGGCGCGGGCCCCGCCGCCGCCCGGGGGCTCTGCGGGCCCGCGGAGCAGGGCCATGGCCCCATGCGCTCGGCCAGGTCCGGAGGCTGGGCCTGCGGAAGGAACAGGACGCGCGTTAGGCTGTGAGGCCAGGAGCTCAGGGAACCCCCGACCACCCTGGGCCTGGGGACCCAGCACAAGCAAGGACTCCCTGGGCCTGCCCCTCCCGCATACCTGACTTACAGGTGACCGGATAGCGGACCAGATAGCGAACCACAAGCTTGCCGGCAGATCCCAGGTGAAAGCGGCGGCCTGCCTCGCTTTCTCTCCCAGAGACTGGGAACCGGCCACTGGAAGCCCGCCCTGGAGAGGCTGTCTTGGGAGAGCTGGGCGGGGGCCAGACCTCACCCTGTGACCTGATCATCATCGGGTTCGAGCCAAGGGGGCTGCTGTAAACCTAATGGAGACTTTATCATCTCTAGCTTGGCACTCTCAAAATACTGGCAGATGATGGTCATTTACCACAGGGATTTACCACAAAAATGCAAGGATGGTTGACCATGCAAAAACAGGTGACACCGAATCAACGCAGCATACGTATTTATGAAGGAAAAATACTCAACCCATCTCATAGATGCAGAAAACGCATCTGACGACCAACAACACTCTCTCATCAAAAACCACTCGGTAACTAGGGGTAGAAGGAGCGTCTGCCACATCACAAAGGCCACACACGCAAAGCCTGTAGCCAGCCTCACGCCCGTGGGGAGGACGGGGGTCTCACCCGCTAAGATCGAGAACAAGACCAGGACGCGTGTTCTCATCACTTCTATCTCTAGAAAAAGAACAAAGTTGGAGACGTAAAACCGACTGCAGAGCTACCGTGATCGAGAGCATCGGACCGGCACAAGGAGAGACACGTAGCTCGATGGAGCAGAACCGAGGACCCAGAAGGAACCCCGCACGTCCGTGGCCAGCGGGTTTCGACGTGGGTGCCGAGACCGTGCGGGGGAAGAGCAGTCTCTTCAGCAAGTGGAGCTCAGACAGCAGGATGAAGTCGGACCCTACCTTGCATCACAAGCACAAATTAACCCAAGGGCGGCTCCACAGAGTAGCGGTCAGCATGTCTGCTTTATACGCAGAAGGTCCTGGGTTTACGCCCCAGGTGAAGCCATGGACCATACCCCAGGTGTGCCAGGCCCCCGGGGGACCCGCTGCCAGCGTGTGGGAGGAGACGCCCCGCCCTCAGAGATCCAGTTCTTAAGGGGAAACGGCACCATCCGTCGGTCAGGGGTGGAAGTGTGTGTGTGTGTGGGGGGGGAGGAATTAAAGAGGGGAAAAAAAATTAACTCAAAATGGACCAAAGACCTAAATATAGGGTAAAACTCCAAAACGTACTTAGAAGAAAACAAGAGTAAATCTTCATGACCTTGGTTTAGACAATGGCTTCTGAAATATGGCAACAAAAGAAAAAAAAGACTTCATCAAAGTTAAATTATTTTGTACATTAAAAACACTATCAAGCAACTCACAAATACGATGACAACTCACAAAATGGGAGAACAATTGGCAAATTATGCATCAGATAAGCGTCTTGTATTTAGAATATATAACAAACTCTTACAACTCAAAGACAAGAGCACAAACCACCCAATTAAAAAATGGGCAAACACTCGAATAGACATTTTGCCAAAAAAATACATGTAAATGACCAACAAGCGCATGAAAAGATGCTCAACATTAGTCATCAAGGATTTGCGATCAAAGCTGATACTGCTTCACAGCCATTAGCACGGTTATGATCCAACAAGGGGGCGACAAAACTGTCGGAGAGGATGTGGGGAAGCTGGAACCCCCAGACGTGGCTGGTGGGACTGTAAAACGTGGGGGTGCAGCCGCTGTGGAAGCAGCCTGGCACTTCCTCAGATAAATGGTAACACGATCCAGCAATCGCCCTGGGTATGTGCCCAAGAGAAATGAAAACATTCAAGCGAAGGCCGTACGTGCACGTTCAAGGCAGCACTGTTCATAATCTCCGAGAGGTGGAAACGGGCCAGCTGTCCGTGCACGGATGACCGCGTAACAGATGCCGTGTGCGTGTGCTGGGATGACGACCGCCGTGGAAAATGCAGCCCTGACCGTGACTGCACGATGCAGGCGAGGGGCCAGCCGGGAAAGGTGGCGTGTCACGTGAGTCCGCTTGTGGGCAGCGTCCAGAGTGGGCACACGCGTAGGGACAGAGAGCAGGGCAGCAGCTGGGGAGTGCCTGCTGGGGGCCACGGGGCCTCGTTCGGGCAGCCACAAGGCTCTGGCACTAGGCAGCGGTGATGGTTACGGTGTTGAAAACACCAAATCGCACCATTTAAAATGACTTAAATGTAAACACTATGTTATCCGAATTTTATCTCAATTCCGAAAACAAACTCTGAGTGAGTGGGTCTGGGTGAAGCCCAGCAGTATGCGTGTAAACGAGGCCAGCTCACTGAAGCCTGGAACCGTCAGCTTCCACGGGCCATCGAGACCTCCCGCAGCCGTTAAAGATTCTGTGCTCTCTCCACCGCCAGAAGCCGACACCGGGCGCCAGGTGACCCAGGAAGGACGCGACAGGTCTCTGCATGGCTGTGTTCAGCACGTAGCCCACAGATGCCACCTAACCCGAGTGGGACCTGCCTGAGACTGAGGGTGGGAGGAGAAAAATAAATAAACCGAAACGCCATCAGTCAACAGACTCGCCAGCAGGATCGCACCGCTGCGAGTAAGAATTCAAGAATTTCTTCAGAACGTGAGAAAAGCTGCCTTGGGAGCTACAGCTGCAGCGACGTCTTCGGCGCTCGACGGTGCAGGTGTGCTTCGGCCTCTGAGCCAAGGTCGCTGCGTGTTCCTGGGGACAAAGGGACCCGGACCCCACTGCGCGTGTGCCTCTGCCCTGCAGCCAGCTCACTCGCTCGGTGAATATCTAGTCCAGACCTGCTGCGCCGACGCCAGGAGCTCAGGGCGTGGCTTCCCGGAGCTCGCAGTCCGGGGGGCGGGGAGGGGACCCAGGCCCTCAGCATCTCCACCCCGTAGGTCAGGGAAGCCGCCGGTGCTTTCTGAGCAGCTTCCTCACGCGGTGGACTCGGCGGGGCTCCAGGCCCCCAGGCCCCCACACCAGAACCTCGAGCGGCGAGGGGACACTGTGGTCAGTGGAGGCGCTCGCCCAGGAAGCCTCGCAAACCTGGCGGGGCGCTCCGTCGAGGTGTGCCTGGAGACATGGCCTCTGACCTCAAAGAGGGCTCGAGGTTCTTCCAGACCAGGGCTCCCGCGTGGGCCCACCGCGCCCCTCCGCGCTGCACGGCACACAAGGCCCCGCCGCAGACACTGGGGGCTGCTGGCCCGAGCAGGCAGAGATCGGGGTGCCGCCGAGCGCCCCCTGGCACAGGACGCCCGCCGCTGGGCACCCCGCCACACGCAGTGTGCTGAGGTGCAGGCCCGATCACACGCTGTCTGCTGAGGAAACTCGTTAAAGACGCCGTGCAGGAGAAGAGGTGGCAAAAGCCAGGTGCCAATGTAGAGGCTGGTGGCATCCCGAGGCTGTCGGGGGCCAGTCACCCCAAGCTGCCACCAAAGCGAGGACGTCACAGAGGAGGAAGCTCAGAGTGGGGTGACCTCAGCCTGAAAGCCAGCTGCTCGAGTTCGCGAGGCTTCCCACACGGACGTGGCGATAACTCATCCAGCGGAGACAGACAGGCTTCCACAAGTTGTCCCCTGCCTCCTTTGGGTTCGCGTGTCTTATAAACTTGTCACACTCATTTGCGTCTCCCTCACCTCCTGTCCCATCAGCCACCCTGAGGCCAAAAGCGTCATCTCAGGGAGGGGGAGCGGCGTCTCAGTGAGTCCTGCCCGATCCGCTGGCTTCCAGGCGCACACTTGGCTTTGCAGTCGAAGGCGTCCCCCTCTGACGCGACCCAGGTTCGTGAGGACAGACACATGGGGCCACGTGACAACAGGGAACCGTGACACGGAGTGGATGTGCTTTTGGTCGCCGACCCCCCTGCGGCTGAGGGCTGACGTGCAGACGCACCCAGCACTCGACAAAGAGGCCACTGCCCTTGTTTTCAGCTCCTGCTGGCTTCCCCAAAATTCCAGGAATTACGATGAAAATCCCTTATGGGGTAGAAACAAAGAGCCTGAGGCAAACAACTAATTTTAAATAAAACATGACTCTTTTGGAGTTTTCTCAGCTTGAAATAAAAGAACTATTAGGATTGTTTCTATTATGTCTGATTGTTAAACTCACGTGCGTTCAATTCTTGTTCTGAAATGGATTCATTTTCTATATGTCAAAGTTACAAATTACAAAAGGCTTCTAAAATGTATCTATGAACAGAACTGAAAACTTGCTAATTAGGTCTATTTTAAGCCATGTTGGTGACAGAAATTGATGATTTTCTTCAATTATGATTTATGATAACCACATATAATCTCCAAATCCATGACACATAAAATTTGGTAACTAATAACCCTACCCACAAAGCAAGGTGTATACAGCAGAGCTCCACGCAGAGTAAGCGTTTGCTTTTGAGACTGCAGAGACCCCACGAAGCCTTCACTCGGCCCGACCGGCGGCAGCGTCTTACGAACCGGGCCGGGTCTTACAGCCAGGGCACGACACCGACACGGTGTGGAAGGGCTCACCTGGTCTCCGTCTCAATGCCTCTGCCACCCCGAGACCGGTGTAGAAACGGACCCACACTGTGAGGGGACCGTTCAGGGCTGGATTTTTTCACTGAGCATAATTCTCTGGAGACTCCCTGGGTTGCTGCTGGGTGGACGGTTTGCTCCCGGTGACCTCCCACGGCGTGGATGTGCCACGGCTTGTTGAAGGACAGCTGGCTTACTTCCAAGACTTCAGTATTACGGACAAAGCTGCTGTGAACATTTCCGTAAAGGTTTTTCTTTCCTCTGGGATAAATGCCCAGCAAAGCAAAGTTTTACTTTTGATAAAGTCCAATGTATCATTTCTTCTTTTATTGACTATGCTTTTGGCGTCAATAAGCCTAGTCCAACATCTCAAAGGTTTTCTGTGATTCTTTTCCTAAAATGTATA